TAATTCCATTGTAGCAATGCTTTAACCCCTTGGAAACAGAGTCTGTAATCCATTGGAAAAAGTCATATAATCCACAACGGTAAATCCACAACAATTGGAAGTGTTGATTAATCAGCATACAGAGGGGTACCCTTGGATTGATCTGAAGATGCGGCCACTGGATGAAGAGTGGAGACCAACGTCAGGATTGCAGGTCGCCTCCAGCGAAGGTTGTCTCCAGCGACGTCCAGCCTGTGCCGTTCTGGTTCAATGTGTCATGCAATTATGTGGTTTAAGGTGGGCTTATGAAGGGGATTTTACATAAGGCCTTAAACTATATGCACCTGGTGTGTAAGCTATTATGATTGGGAACAGCTACAACTACCAGTTAAGGGGTGGAGCATGCTGAAAAGGGTAACTACAGGGGTTTATGCCTATAGAAAAGGGTTCCAAACTATTTTTCATTTCTAACTTGGTTTAAGTTAGCTTTACATGGTAAAATATAGTTTGGTGCAATTGTCTGTTGTCTTTTAGACGAACGACTTGAGATTGGGTGTTTGGTTTCCCCATAAACGTTTTGGAAGTCTATGGCGAGACTTATCAAACAGAATTAGCTACCCCCCCAAATAGAATTGTTCGAGTAGGTTCGGCTTAAGCGTTGTGAGATCAATGTAGATTATGGTACTTAAGGTAGCAATAATATACATTGACTCCGCAAAGATTGCAATTTAACGAATGAACTGCATGTTGGCATGGTTAAAGGCCTCTTAGTCTCTAACTTAACTACACAACAAAATTCATTCTTGCCTGGGGTGTTCAAGAACAATACCAAAACCAATTAAACGATGTCTCAACATCGACAAAAACAGTGACTAAGCAACCAGTTAACAAGTTTCAACATCGACAAAAGCAGTGATTAAGCAACTAGGAAACAACGTTTCGGTGCGCCACTCACTCTGAATGTCAGATTTGATCATGTTATCGCGTCTGGTAGCATTATCCTAACTGGCGTCACCCCCCTTCGGTCATGGGAGACCGCGAACACGGGTGAGGACGTCGCTCCATGAGCTAAAGTTAGGCTGTCCTTGAGTAGTTTTAACTGTTTGCGCAGCTGAAAGAGGACTTTTAGGTCTGGATCGGAATCCATTTTGACTTTCGATGGAGTGTATTTGTCCGGGTCAGTCAGATACAGTATCATCGATTTAATTGCAGGATCATCCAACTTCTGAAGTTTGATGATTTCTGGGTCAGTTGAAAGTGACTTTTCATATTTTAAAAGAACTTGGCGAAGTTTGTCTCTTTCTTTATCAGATGTCAGAGTGTCGGCTTGAGCGACCACCTGTTCAATCTGTGATGAGACTGATGAGGGTTCTTGCTCCATGGGGAGCTCCAACGAATCCTTTTCTGAGTCGTCGGACCTGTCTATGGGCAAGACACCATAGGTTTGTGGTCCTTGGTCGACATCATTGGTTGAGAAAAGAGCGATGGCCTGTGGTGGTTTTGTAAACCATACTGGCCCAGCTTCTTGACTCGGTACCAGGTTATCTGGGAGTCCTCCCAGAACTGGAATGCCTAGTTCAAAATCATGAAGGTCAGGTTCTGAGTTTTCAGTTTGCGATGACTCATCATCGTTTGTGTGTGAGTTTATCCCCCCTTCGTCCGATGAGGGGTTGTTGGAGGCAATAACAGCAATGTCTTGGTGTGTTTCACCGACATCTGTAATCACGTCACTTCCTCCATGTCAGATGTAAAGTTGCGACCGGAGCCTTCACTACGCTTAAAATCACTAAATAAAGCTGCCATATGTCCCAAGAAAACTCATGTTCATGCATAACAGTCGTGCTTGTTGAAACAACGCCACGTTTACGCTTAAATTCGTTCAGAAACGTTGATTTTAACCGAGTTTAGCCGAAGCTAACTTTAAGCTAAGCGGCTAACAACAGGATGTCAACCGAACGTCACAGGAAGTCGTCATAGACTCCTGCTGGTAGAAAGCTAAACACTGCACCCTCCTGGAGAAACTTTAAATCACGGTTTCACTTCAGTTTTAGGTTTAAAGAGTGAAATTAAACGTTTTTATTTTTCTGTAAGGCATTTTTGAGTTAATAAACGTTCCTCAAAGCTGAATAATCACTGTTATCTTGCATTTAAAAAGTAAAAAAGGTATTTATGCAAAGAGCATTTACCAAACACATTTTTATTCACTGATAATTCCTTAAGAAAAAGGTACAAAATAAAATTAGAAACTTTTTAAAAGATACGGTTCAAATATTCACAGAGTTGAACAGTTTACTCATTTGCTGGAGAGATAATACACGTTTAATTGCTAGATCACTAAATAAGAGTAAACTTATCAGGAAAAAGAAACTTTTCTGTTTAAGTTACCACCTAAAAATAAATCTTCCTATTTAATTTTAAATAGAGGATGAGACAGGAGAACAGGAATAACAGTTTTTCTGAGGAAGGACTGATTAATCCTGATACATCATCAACTTTTCTTTTTCTTTTCACCACTTAGTTCTATGAGTAACTGTTAAAATAGCAAATTTCTGGAACAGAACGGTTTAAAAAAACGTTTTAAACCGATGATTGCTGTGAGACTTTTAGAAAAATTGCAGGTTTATAAAAAACTCAGTGCTTTAGAGTAAAATACACTAAAAAGAGCTTGGTAACTGGTATCTGTTGAAAAATAAGCACATAAAAGTAACACTGCCAGAGAGCATTTACTTAAATATTCATGAATTGGGGTAAAACCTACAGAGAGGTACCCACATTTGAATAAGTTGACTTATAACAGTACTTCTGTGTAAACCCAAAAAGCTAAAATAGTGTGAAAACTCATTGACTCGAATACAAATATTTACCTGTAAAATATCTGAAGCTTGCAACTGTTTTTAACAGATAAAGTGCTACACAGTGAAAAACATGACAGGTGTGTTAGAAAAAGATTTTGATGCTTATGGGATAAGGGACTGCTTGGAGAATGCGTTAGCGCTTCTGACAGATTCCTTACATCCACAGATCAAGCAGGCGGAGAGCATGAACCCAAAAGAGTTATTGGACAATCTGAAGGAGGTCGCAGAAAGTGTGACCTCTACAGAA